GTACAGCGTACAGCCATGTCAAGCAGTCCCGGAAAAATTTCCGAGTCAAAGAAAAAAAGCGGCTAAGCAGGTACTAAGCCACGTCGTTATTTTAAGAATGTAGAGTCGAACCAAAAAGCAATAAATACTTTTTCTTATCGTCATTATTTACTCCGGGGTTTTTTATGTCACTGACTCTGGAAATTTTTGAGATTGTACGCGAGATTAGTCGTTATAAAAATTTTATGTAATTTACATCGGCATGGCCCAAAAGTGTTGTCGCTGGTGTGTTGTCATGGCATTCTAGAATTTTGGCTTTGTCTAAACTCTTTTAACACTTCGCGTCGATTCTTAGTATTGGATTACGTGTTGGAACGATTCTTATAGCCCTTCTGGTATTTGGCACCAGCATCCTTGGTGCCTATACGGCCTTCGCATTCGTGGATAGTAAGCCCTTCGTGTGTTGATCACGTGATTCGATTTTTTTCGAGATGTCAGTATCAGAAATTGAATTCTTGTCAAAATAATGATATTTAGCGACCACTCCATTTTCCACAAGTCTTGGTTACATCAATGGTATTTGGCATGTCGTCAAAGGAATAATTTGCATTGGTGGTCTATACGGCGCGTACACGGTAAATCGATTCCTTAAAAACTACAAAATTTGTGCTCAACATGTTAACAGAACTGTTAAAATTATAGGAGGACAAAAGATTGGTTCATCTTTTTGCAGTGATAATTAGCGTGACAGCAATGATTCACCTGGTCTTTGGAATTGGGCTCGTGGTTGTAGGATTCAAGAATCAAGATAGACTCGTGGATCTTTGCCTTCACAAAATTAATGTTACTTCCACAAGTGGTTTGTCTTGGCAACCGAATCACGTTTGGTTGACCCCTTTCAACAAGCGAGCAAACTCAACCACGACACCTACGACGACCGCCACACCTACCGAAACTTCTACCGCAACCTCCACGGATTCCACCACAACGGATAACACGGCTTCATGTCAAACTGCTGTCAAGTGGTATCTCGCGACCTTTATCAGTATCACTATAATTACGGTTATACTTACGGTAACGCGAATTTTCTTCTTTCTTTCTTTCTTTTTTTCTCACCCTCAATGGATGAATCCTGATCCTTCTTTCATTTTTTTTTTTAAAAAAAAAGTTTTATTTCGCCGCGGTCGTATATCGTTATCGGGATGAGCTCGAGGAAAGACATAAACACAAACGGTTGGGTTCAGACTACGGTCCTTCCGATATAGGCATCGATCCTAAATGAGGGACGACTGATGGCCGGTGTACCTATAAAGACCCGAATTCTCTACATGAATTTTCCTAAAAAGATTTTTTTTTTTTATTTCTCATTACAGTAGACCACGATTGATTTTTATATTGAGGCACTGCTTCCATTTTTTAAATGTCAATGCAAAGAAATCGATATTTTATATGTTTATCTATCATTAACTGTATTAATATACTTCATTATTCACGTAATAAAACATTTCATAGCCAATCAGGTAGCATGAAATTTTCCATATACAACTGCTCCGACTCATCGAATTTATGATACCCATATTTTTTTCCTCATGTCGACTGACGGGAACGAGACCGACGACGATTTAAAGTAACTGTTCACGCGTGATAAATTTCTTGATTAAATACTAATATTTTCGTTTCGCAGTTTATCCGCGCACGCCCTATCGGCTTT